TACAATACTCATACTAATTGAAAAGTCAAACTAATTTGCTAGTTAAAATGACAATAATGCACAACCCTATCATCATGAGACCATATAAGTCATTAACCTTCTCAATGAATTGTGACTAACATGCATGTTTTTGGTTTTTGGTTTTGGAAACAAGGAATTTTCATTCCAAGGTAACAGCCACCACAAACAAAGAAGCCAGGAACACCTGACCAACAAAACATACAAGCGAGAAGGGAAATACAAAAGACGCTGCCAAATAAGGCTATCATGTCTTCCCCACCCCGCAGCAAACCTACCTAAGAAGGAGGGCAAGGTAATCCATCTTTGTTCAAAATCCTCACCAACGAAGATGGGGGTCTATCGACCCAGGTAGAATCGTTCATCTCCGTTCCAAGAAATCTAGCGACATAGTTCGCCGCTTCATTCCCTGCCCTTGGCACCCAGGACCACATGCAGTTGAAAAAACAACACCCTAATTGCCGTATATGACTTAAATAGGGTATATCTTCCAACTGCAATTTTCAACACTACCATTTAAATAAGAAATTAATTGCTTGCAATCAGATTCCACCATGATTTGTGAAAAGTGGCTTTGTTGAGCCAAAAGACACCCTTCTAGAATCGCTTGAGCCTCAACGACTTCTGGACAGGAGGCATGCACATCCTTTCTTCGAATCATTAAACATCTTTTCCTCGAGTCTCTCACGACAACACCACAAAACTTTTTGAATCCCCCAGTTTCTAACTCGCATCAACATTAATTTTTACCATTTGGGAAAGGGGTGGAGACCAAGTACAATCCTGCTGAACAATAGACATTGCATCTTGCTGGATGGTATTCCTTTCTCTCGCTTTCATGAACATAGTATAAGCATATTGAATAGCATGTACAATTTGCATAGGAAAGGATGTTTGAGGTTAAAAATAGACTTACATCGAGTTTTCCATATGTGCCAGCATGTGAAGGCCAACGGAGACTGAATTCTCGCCCTCTCTGCCGTATCCCCAAAATTCTCCTTAAACATTTTAAAAGGCCAAGCATCAAAATTAGTAATAGAGCTCTTATCAACTTTATAATTCAAAGGGCCACCAAACCATACCAGATCAACCCAAGGACAAAAAAACAGAAGATGTTCAACATACTCCTCACACTCATTGCAAATCGGACAAAGGGGAGACATGGCACACCTCCGCTTGAAAAGACTCAGCTGCGTAGCTATAGCACCCTTGATTCAGCTGCGTAGCATAGGATGCAGTTCCTAAATTTCAAATCAAGATCCTTTCATGAGCAAAGGGTGAGGATCCTCCTGACCAAGCTCATCGGGCCGTTGAAATTTTATCCAACGGCTACTAACAGGAGGCCAAGTTATAATAATTGTAGCCGTTAGATAAAATTTCAACGGCCCGATAAGCTTGATTAGAAGGATCCTCACCCTTTTCTCATGAGACGATCCTGATCCCTAAATTTCGAGCTCCGTCCAAAACCCGAGACCGCACCCTAAGTCTCAAGCTCCTTTCAAAGACATTCTAAAAATCTAACCCATAATGATCAACCCCAGGCAATAACGAACCATTAAAACCCATAACCTTACAAAATTATAAAAGAAATAAACTAAATGACAAGATTTAGTTGGACTTGGTATTTCCCTTTAGATATGTATTTTTCCTTAACATATGCCCAACTTGGTTTTAACATGAATTTAACATTGTTTTTTGGCGATGTCTAATGAATCTGGATCCTTGCCGAATCCTTTTTACGAGGATTTCGGAGATTCGTGAATCATATTCGTTCATCGTACATCGTACGGTCAGAAATTATTTTAAATATTTTTTATTTAAAATTAAATACAAACAGTACCTGATAAAAACTAATCACACAATGTACGATGAACGGATACGATTTACAAATTTCCAGGATCCTTATAAAAAGGATCCGGAAGGATCCTGTTGGATGTCTAATACCTTCCAAGTAAATTCCCTTACGCGTAGTCGGCCGTGTGGGGTAAGGTGTGACTAACTAAGGTCTTAGTCTTTTTTTTCTTTTTCTTGGTCGAGTAAAGACTTGTAGCCCGAGTCAATGTGATTATAAAGAACACTAGATGTGCCTCTAAGTTTTGCTCATGACCCGCATTTCGAGAGTGTTTTTTCTTTCAGTTTCAGATATTTGCAAATTACTTACACTACTACTTGTTGGAAATCAGTAGCAGCAAAAATGGCTGGAGCTTTTATCAGCGATGAGGCTTCTCTCTCTGCTTCGGTCCAGCTGCTTTGCAAAAGGATTGATTCGTCTGAATTCGGGGACTTGTTCGGGCCAACCAAACTTGATAAGTCACTTGTGAATAAACTCAAGTTGGCGCTGCTGACCCTCGATGCAGTGCTCGACGAAGCACATGAGAAGGAATTTCGGGACGCTTCTGTAGCAAACTGGCTTGATGAGTTCAGAAAAGCAGCCTTTGATGCGGAGGCCCTACTGGATGAGATCGATACGCAAGCTTCCCGGATTAAGATGGAAGCAGAAGATGAGTCCACTAGTACAACCCAGGTGAACGTCCTCTCTGATCCTTTTCTTCGTATCTGTGAACGCATGAATAGTAAGATAGCCGAGTTAACTGAGAGACTAGAATTCCTTGCAAACGAAAAAGATGTGCTTGGTCTTGGAAAAGGTCTTCGCAAGGTTTCACAAGCACCAACAACTTCCTTGGTTGATAAATCACTTATATATGGTAGAGAACAAGATAAAGAAACGTTAATTAATCTATTGTTATCTTACGACGGTATAAGCGGTAATAATGTATCTGTCATCACCATCGAAGGAATGGTCGGGATTGGCAAGACGACACTTGCTCAACTAATTTACAATGATGACAAAGTGGCAAAGCACTTTGAGCTTCTAGTTTGGGTTTATGTTTCTGAAGATTTCGATGCTACGAGGGTCACTAAAACCATTCTTGAGTCGGTCACTGCAACTGTTTGTGATATTGAGGATCTAAATTTCAAGCAAGCCAAACTCAGAGACCTAGTGAAGGGAAAGAGATTTTTATTTGTATTGGATAACCTTTGCAATGAGAATTATCATGACTGGAATCTCCTGCAAGCTCCCTTTCAGTACGGGGCGGGGGGAAGCAAGGTCGTGATAACAACACGGAACACAACAGTCGCATCAATTGTCCGCAATCTTCCTACTTACTGTTTACAACCGCTATCTGGTGAAGCTACTTGGCTTTTAATTCTAGAACATGCTTTGGGAAACAGAGACACTATTTCAGTCCGAAACGTTGAAGAACTTGACAAGGAAACTGCAGTGCGTAAGTGCCATGGTTTGCCTTTAATTGCAAAAGCACTTGGGGGTCTCTTAAGGCACACTGTTTTTGAGGAATGGCATCACATAATAAATAGCAACTTTTGGGAGCTACCATCGATTGCTCGTGATCTCCCAACTTGCTTACTACAATACTTGAGGCAGAAGGGACGTGAATCACATAACGTTGGCCACTCTACTAGGACAAAGGTAATCCAAATTCACAAGTCATTAGCCTTTGTTTTGCATGATTCTCTACGTATCTTAATTGTTGATCAAACTTATTACTACTTTGTTTTGCAGGCCAATTCAGCAGAATGGATCTTTTTAGTCATCAGCCTCTGCGTAGAAATTGTATCAGCGGCTTGTGATCAGGCTTCCTCGCCAAGCAAGCCCGGCTATGCACTTTCTGGTATGCTCTTGGCTATTGCAGCTGTACTCATTTGCATATGGGAGCTCATTCACAGAGGGAGAGAAGAAAACTTTATGCGGAGGAAGCAGCAGGGAATACGGTCATGGATTTACTACATGCTTTTGGGTTCTCTCCCTAATATTTACGGCTTACTTGGTGGTATCACTCAGTTTGTTTTTTCAACAGTTCAATATGCTTACATCATCCGGCATGCTGAAACTCCAATCAAACTGTCCCTTTTGCCTACTGTCTTTCTTATATGTTTGTTTGCTACGAGATTAAGCAGGGATCGAATGCAGCCCGAATACAAGACTGGTGAACATAGAGCATAGGCAAAAGACTGGCTGTGAGTAAATAATAAGGATGGATTCTTCGTAAAAACGTATATCCAGGCATGTGGATATAGTTATTTGTCCATTTTGGGGTGAAGTTTGGTGTTCTGTTTGATTGTGTCTGTTTTGTGTTGTAAAACTTTTATATCCTAATATGCTGATAAAATTCTTCTGTAAAATCTTCCAAGATTCCTTGGAACGCTGTTCTTTGGTTCATAGCGTTCAACGTCAAATTCTTATCATCATCATATTATTTTTGGCATCTTGAGACCGTTTCTTCTGTTCTAACACATCAGAGTGATTTTTAAGCTCCTTTTTATTTCTAACCATTAGATCGAATGAATCAAAGGAGAATCAAGGGACATATTAGGGAAAGGGTAAAGAAGGTGAAAAGGGCAGTGCGGAAATCACTCCCCTCACTTACTATACCTACACATCCAACAGAAATCCTGCATGTTGAGCGGAGCTGATATGCTTGATGCATCACATTCATGCATTTACAATTCATGTGACGGTATTAATACTCCTGAAAGGTGTTCTTCTGTGTGCTCGTAATTCTGGTTTGATAGCAGATAAAGAAAATCTTGATTTTTGTTTCCCTTGTGATTGACCGGGAAGAGGGGGGACATGCCAAGTATTCGCTTGCGATCGTGTCTTCTTAGGACTATTTTGGATTTTCAGCTGGAAAAGGTTCGTTAATCTTATGTTTGAATAAGGGTCTTTCAAAGTACCGAAGAAGTTTCGAGTCGATTGGTAAAAATGCCTTACAAAAGCACTACAAATCTTTTACCAAAACCCTCCAAACGCGCTACAAAGAAACAAAACAAAGGACTTTCAAAATGTCATTTTAAGGTTCTCAAATATGCAACAAGTCATTTTCAAGTCCCTCTATCCGACCATCAGCAGTAAACGTAAAAAATGAAGTAAAAAAGAAGAAAAGGAATACGTGATGTGGTTGTTCAGATCAGTAAAAGAAAGGCTACCGATGATACTTCTGTCCTTTCAGAGTAGTCCATGACCTTAAGTCAACGGATAAGCATGCATTATTTACTCATTTGATGATTTAAAACCATAGAAGCCAGCAGATCAAAGTATTCTTACCTATAGAGTTGCTCTACAAGCAAAACTAATGCAATTTGATGGTTTAAAACCATAGAAGACAACTTGATAGAAACATCAGCACGTTCTCGAAATTCTTTTCCAAGGCCGTAAGGTCCACCAATGCAGAACAGCGATAGTCTTGAAGCTCCCTACAGAAAGGAAAAACAATAGTGTTGCCTACAGTAAGAAGTTCCAAAGTTATTGTACTCCACTCACCTCATCTTCCCAGCATCCCCAGCCAACTCTGCCATCTGCTCCGACCCTATGTCTTTTTCGTGCTCATCCAACAGCACGACTTACAAGCACAAGATTACAAACTGAAAATAGAAACTAGTATAACAGCTCTGAGCCTTTAACAATACAATTGAATCTGACTAACGCTTTAAGCAAAGGTGCTCAGACTGTACCCAATCATCGATAGCATTGCCTTCATGATCAAGCTGAGCCTTCGAATCACTACACAAAAGGTAACTAAATTCAGCTCTACAACAAGATATGATCCGTAAACCCACAATACGAACATTTACTCCATGCGTCGGTCCAATATTCATAATTACAGGAAAAAGTTCTTCTGAGTATCTTAGAAAAGCATGTGTCTACTCAGGTTAAGTACAAAGACTGTGATGATATAGGTCAAATAAGATGGCCAGTACCGTGCATTTTTAGGATTTAAACATCATCAACACAGCAGTACGAGTTGTACGCCTTGCGATCTCTTCTTCCTTTACTGATCTTATTCGTATGGGAATTGGTCTCTGCCCAAAATCAAAATCACTTCAAATCGGAAAGAAAACCTCGAAATTCAAGGTCCAGCAAACACAGTTGCCAATTGCTAAGAGATTGACACGATAAAAAAGACACAGCAAACTGATATTTCAATGTTCACACAATAAGCGGGTTCAATCAAACACAAATGTAAACCAAATTTACTAATTACTCAAAAGATTCGACAAAAACAAGATCATTCAGCAAACCGATAAATCCTTGCTAAATCCATGGATACATTGTTGGTTCACAAAAATGTGACAAAGACAGTTCCGTTCTGGAGATAAAACCAACTGTTTCGCAATGCGACAAAGTGATAAAACAGTTCTCGTTCCTTGCATTTCTTCCTAGCTGCTTGGCCTGTAGTAAGTATCTGGCTTACCTCTTTATAAAATCAGCATGTAAAAGTATGTACGTTGTAAAAATGATTACAGTAAGAGCTGGAGAGAGCTTACCACTGTTTGACCTGTGTATTTTGCAATCTCTCCCTGAAAATTTTAAGCAACTTCGGATAAAATAACCATTAACGAAGACTATAACGGCATCACAAGGGTTTCTAGAAAAAAAATAGGGAAAATTAGGTTCACATCCTTTTTTTTTTTTTGTTACTCCATTGATTAAAATCCTATTCATTTTCAATTTTTGATCCAGGTGTATTAATAACATCATTAATTATTTGAATAATAATTTTTTTAAATATATTCCTTTAATGTTCAAAATGTTACAATTAGTATATTTATATTTATGGCTAAATTTTTTATCATATATTTTTATTTTTAGTTTGTACCTATTTTTAATTTGCAAATATTTTTTAATTTGTACCAATTTTCTTTTCATTTTTAATTTGTACCCATATAGTTTCTTTTGTGCCCATATTTTTTTAAAGTTTTATTTGTGTTTGTACCCATGTGTATACCGTCACGTGACATTGTATATTTAATCAATGATAGAAAAATTACATATGATATATTTATGTTTTATGCCTAAACTTTGTATCATATATTTATATTTTTAGTTTGTACCCACCTTTAATTTGCAACATTTTTTTTTTAAATTTTTAGTATTTTCTTTTTTAGTTTTATTTTGTACCCATGTATTAATTTCCTTTAGCGCCTATATTTTTAAAAATTCATTTGTATTCATAATTTTTAATCTTTTATCTATACCCTAATTTATTTTTAATGTACCCATTCTTCTTTATTAATGTACCACTTTGTTATATTTGAAATGTACCAATTTTTTTAACACTATGGATACATTCTTTTGCCATTTATTATTTCTTATTTTTACATAGTTTTTATCCATTTATTCAATCAAAATGTTTGAATTTTTTTATTGTAACCGTTTCTAATAGTATTATAATGAGGGATTATAAATCTCATAAAATATTAAACAATTAATGTTAAAACTATAAAAATATTAAAATTAATAGTAATATAATGAGGTGTATAAAGTCAAGGGACCTTGATCAAACTTTGAATACTATTAAGGTTTTAATCAAAGAATGTTAAGGATTAAGGACCGCATCCAAAATATCCTTAAAAAATAACCTGAAGGAAGAGCAGAGATAATGGTATCGGGACGGGAACTAAAGCATGACAACAACCATGTATATAGGAAGAAAGACAAAGACTAGGACTTGCAGCTCCGAATGTCGAAAAAAATATTCACATTAACAAAGGAAAACGAGAAAAGGACGAACGTTGCATTGCAATTCAAAGGGTTCAAAAATACGAAATTAGACGTACGAAAAATGTCCCGGACTTTATTTACTGAAGACTTTTGCTTAAATGTAAAGTGTGAAAACTTCCGTTGTATTTATTTCATATTACAGAAAATGCAAGCTCACTGTAAAATCATGGCATCCTGCATTCATGCACAAATTCTACATGCCAATGACATGCCCCAAAATTATCAAATAACTGCAATTAACCAGTACATAATTCTTGGTCAAAAGTTATAAACTTGCAATTGGGTGGGACAAAAACCAAAATTTTGCATCAATTCTGAGACAAAATACCAACCTTTGAGTTTGAAAATTCCTGCTCACACTTCTCTGAGCTCTCTCTCTCTTTTTATAGCACTTGGCGACGGTTAATGGTTGCCGCTGACCCCAAGGCCCAAGTATGGGGACAGCGACGGTAGGTTTTTTCTCCAACATTGTGTTAAAGATTCTTATTGGTTTTGTATGTAACGCAAACTAACAAGAACTCCCTACATTTTATGCATAAAAAGGGTGGGACCAACTTAGGAAAAAAATCATACACACCCCCGTTACACATTTTATGAAAATATTCGACAATTATTGTGGATTTATAGATTGGACAGCTATAAGCTTTCCCTAATTTTTCTTAACCCCTAATCTCCCCCTAAATTAATAAATAATCATTTATTAATATTACCATAATTTCACTGGCTGAAGTGTTCATCGCCCAAAAACCATCCAATTCTCTCAATTGTCCAGAACCAGAGATTCACACCCTCCTCCTTTTACCATATACTCACAATGCCTCACATCGCCATTTCCCTTCGCCTCATTCTTCTCACCACATTCCCGCCGAACCCGCTTCCCCTCTGAGAAGCTGAAACATCACCTGCACCTGCATTTGAACATTTTTGATTGATTGAAGCTAATTTCCTCACCGCACCCAGGTTTTTATTTCCCTCACCCATCAAGATTCTTCCGTTTTTGCTCACCACCAACACCGTTTATTGTTTCCGATATTAACACAAAGGTTGATCTTTGCGTTATGTTTTCAAAGTTTGTGGCTTTTTTCTGTTTTTTCACTCACACCCAAATTTTGATAAATCAATGTTTTGATGAAATGAGTTGAAATTTGATGCTTTGGGGGTTTTTTTCAAAAGGGTATTCGTTAAATTGTGAAAAGTTGTTTTCTTTCTTGTTGGTTGATTCAAAAATGCGTCTGAAATGATGTTATTTGTGTTGCAAGTTACGGCAACTTCTTAGTTTACATTGAGCACTAGGGGGAAATAAAGCAGAGAATGCGAAAAACGGACTGAATAAGAGGTTCTGTGTTGCCTTCGATCCAGATGAAAAAGTCGTTCGCATGGCGGCCGCAACTGATGAGAGATACGGTGATGTCTAAGTCAAGGTCGCGTCCAGCGTTGAGAAGACCAACATGGATCATTGCATTGGTTTCGTTCATCTGTGTTTTTCTGATACTTGCCTACTTCTACTCTCCGAAAAACTCTGCCTCCTGCAATCTGTTTTCTTCTAGTGGCTGTCTGTTTGGAAGGACTCCCCCTAGCCCTGCGAGGGAGCTGACCGATGATGAGACTGCGTCGGAGGTTGTAGTTAGGGAGATTCTCAAGACGCCTCCTCTTCAATCCAAGAACCCGAAAATTGCTTTCATGTTTTTGACTCCCGGAACCTTGCCTTTCGAGGAGTTGTGGGAAAATTTCTTCCAAGTAAGGCTATGGCTCTTTATGATTTTCATTACTTTTATTTGCCTTTTATTCATCAAAGAATCATATGGATAGATGTATTTGTTGAACTGCATTCAGAAGTTTGGTAGTCTAGCGTTACAATATTAGGCATTTCCTACGGTACCGCTATGCAATCTCGCACTATGTAGCGATTCCACGTAAGCTATTCAATACTTGCATAGCATAAAATAGTAACAAATAAAATATATGTACTTGCACCGTAACACGTATAATTTCACAACAATTTCACTTGCAGAATAACCCACCAAAATACATCTAATTCAAGTTCAAAAACACAACACACTTAAAATACAACATTCATTAAACCTTAACACTCCATCCAAAATCACTGCTCAGTCAAGCAACTCTCAGTAAAGAGCTTCAGAAATCAAAACTCACACCACAAAACCAGAATCATAAGCTCAATACCGAAACAAAACTAATAAACGGGCTTTAGAGGAGTCAGGCATGGATGATGGAGGCGTCAGGTCACAGGTGTGGAGGAAGGAGGGGTAATTGGAGGAGGCGCCGCATGGTGAACTGAATCTGGGACTCTGGGTGTAGTTAATGCTCAGCTCTGCAATGTAATTGTATCTCCTGTGACTATAGTTTCGGTTTATCCAGTTAGAATTACTGTCAAATTGGTGCCAGTCTTTCGATCACCTGAGGAAAAGGTACTTGCTTTAGATTTCTTAGTATGTTAACTCAAAGGGACTTATCGAAAACGTATGTTATTTCAACAGATAGGATAAACATGTGCTTGGAGTTTTCAACAGGTTTTTTCTGTGGAATATTACTGCCTCTTGAATCCCCATTTATATAAACTTGGTGCGGAATATATCTGCTAACTTTAGTTGCTGAGATGTTTCGTTATATATAGTGAACAACTAATTCAATGTCTAACAAAAATGACATGGTTTTTCTAGGGCCATGAAGACAAATTTACCGTTTATGTACATGCATCCAAGGAAAAACCAGTACATGCGAGCCGGTATTTTGCTGACAGAGACATACATAGTGAACAGGTATGCAGAGCCTCTCGGATAATGCTTACAGTACGGTATTTTTTTTTCCTGATCAATACACATGGTTTTCTTTA